TGGCTGGCAGGACACTGTGGTGCGGCGCGTGGGCGTGCTGCGGGGCGACCATGGCTGTAGACTGTTACCTCCGGTTCCCACAGTAACAATCGAAAGCCACGGTTGCCCTGGAGACGCGGGGGCGGGGCGCGCACCGTTGACGGCACCACGGCGGCTTCGGACTGGCTGACGTCAGCACTGCGGGGACGCGGGGTGGGCCGTGGCGTGGGTGCGGGCGTGGGATGGCGCGCGGGCCGGCGGCTGGCGCGGGGGCTGTGCGAGGGTGCTTGTGGGCCGGCTGCCCGTCTCAGCCCCTGCAGACACCAAATTGGACAGCTAGATTCTGGCGCCCGCGCTGGATCAGCACCACGGACAGCGACAGCGCGGGCTGCGAGCGTGGGCTGCGGAACCCCCAAGCACTGAGGGGTCCTGGGGCGCGGTGGGCAGGCGGCCGGTTCCGCGGTCCTGGGGCGGGGCCAGGCGTCGGTGGCCGTGACTGGAGACTGTTACTGAGGGCGGCCCGGGCAGTAAGCAGTCTAGAGCCAAGGTGCCGGCGCACTGCCCGGGCAAGGGTGGCCCAGTCGCCCGCGGCTGGGGACGCTGCTGCTCCTCCTCCCCCATGTCTCCCACCCTTCTTGGCCCCTACACTCGCGGACAGGCACGCGACTCCTGACGTCAGGATTCTGTGACGTCAAAGATGTCCCAGTGGGGAGGCACTTCCGGTGACGGGGGGGGTCGCTGGGTGGGGCGGGGCGGTTTTGCCCCGGCCCCGCCCCCGCCTGGTCCTGAGAGGACAGCTCCGCTCGCAGAGGCGGGAAGTCTTGGGCGCAGCGGGACCAGCCAGACGCGACCAGACCAGACTGGGAGGGGGCAGCGGGGCAGAATGCGGGGTGGGGCGGGGCGGGGGTCCCAAGAGACCCGCAGCCAAGACAGCGGGCAGGTGACCGTCAGTCTCTCGCTGGCGTCCCCGTTCAGCTGGTCTGGGACCGCGAGGCTGAGTCACCGCGCTGCCCGGAGGGGAGAAAATGAGGGGGCGCGCCTCCAGTGGTACCAGCACCTTCTCCCCACTTTCTTGGGAGTATGGCGTAGGAACCCCACAGAATGCTTCGGCGACTCTGGGGTCTGTCCTCTGTTCGATGCTCCTCCAAAGTGGTCGCGTCTCTATCTGGGCTCCGGCAGGTGCTGAGCGAGGTTGTGTCAGCCCTCTGGTCCCGGCTCCATCAGCTGTGAAGGAACCTCGTCCCTCCCACCCTGCCCCAATCCCCACTCCGGAAAAACCCTCCAACCCGCCGCCCGCCGGTCTCCTCCTTGCCCTCCCATCAGTGTCCGCGCAACGGTCCATCAGTGGCCCGTTGGTTGGTCGATCCCGCTTACCTGGCGGGCCGCATCGCGCCAGCGCCCGCTCGCCTCCCGCAGCCCGGCTGGCGCGGCAGCTTTTATAGGCGCGCGTAGTACTCTTGCGGCGGCTCATTCATGCGGCCGCGGCTCCTACACACTGACGCGCTGCCGACGTCAGCAGGGAATTTAGGAAACGGGAAAAGGGGCTATTTATAGTGGCGGGGCGGGGAGGTGGGGGGGTGGGGGTGGGGACCGAAGCGACAGGGATCTGGAAGGGGGAGGAGGGTGCGCGGAAGCAGGATCGGGTAGGAGGAGCCGGCGCCCCCTGTCCTGGCCTACAAAGGGTTAACTTTCCGGAACTGCTGGCTGGGGGGCCCGGGGGAGGATAGTGCAGGGAGGGTGCTGCGGGCCTGTTACATGTTTATTCACTCTCCCCTTCCGGAGCTCTGGGACTCCTGCGGACTCAGTCCATTGCCCCGCCCAGCCTTCGGGGGTCCTCATATGGTAACCCCAACCCCAGTTTTCAGTTACTGGACCCAAGAGCTCTGATGTCACGGGATGCCCAGGGACGTGTCACACACCATATGGCCACTGTGGTGTCATTATCCTTTTTTTCGGGGTTGTATAGGGAAAGAAGCTGGGCCCGCTGAAGGGTCTAGGGCACAGCAAGTGCTGTCGCATGCCATAGGGGTACCGGGAGGAAGGGAAGAAGGTAGGAGAGCCCAGGAATCTTTGGAAGGCTTTGGTGTAGGAGACTAGACCAGAGAAATAAGACCCAATGGGGGATCCAGTTACTAGTGAGGAGCTGGAGACCAGAGGAAAGGCAAAAAGTTGAGGGTGACTTGGGCTTTCCAGAAACGAGCAAAGGGTCCTCTAGGGAGTTGGGGAAGGTATCAGGAGTTTCTAGCAAGTAAAAGGGAGGGCACGATTGGCAGTGCCAAGCTTTGTCACCCATGTGCCACCTCAGCATTCATTTGTGGAATAATGGGACACTGGCAGGGCTCACACGAGGGTACAGGAGACCAAGGACTCAGCAGCTTGGCAGGGAGGGGTCTCCAGGGGTGGCCGGGACCACTTTTTAGAGGAATTCGGTTTCCTGAGGGTTTAGAGTTTAGCAAGAAGAACCTATGCCATGTGGGGCAGAGTTCCCCTAAACATCAGTGGGAAAATGAATAGTCCTGGCCCAGCCCAGCTCTATCTCCAGGCTTTAAGTGGGGAGGAGAAGCTGGACAGCTGGACAAACTTGGACTGGACAAGGGAAGCTTCTCCCCACTTTTTGGGAGGATGGTGTGGGGAAGTGTGGGGAAGAAGCAGCGCCAGGCTGGCTGGTGGAACTGAAGCAGGGAAAGGTAAAGATTAAAGGATGAAGTCTACAGGAGACCCTCGGGACCCTGATGTTGCCACTGGGTTGGAGGCAGGGCTCCCAGACCCTTCCCATTCAGAAGTAAGGAGGACTCCAAGGTAGGGCTGGGGCAGTGACTTAATTGGGGACTGGACCTAGGGCAAGTGCTGAAGAAACAAACAAACAAACAAACAAAAAAAAAAAAAAAAAAAAAAAAAAAGATCGTGGGCGCAGCAGATCCTGGATTGGGTCAGCAGGGGTTAGACTATGCTGCACAGAAGGCGGCACAGGGCTGAAGGGCTCCTTGCAAGGATCAGATGATCTGATCCCATCAAAGGGATTAAAGAGATGTCAGAGAGGCCCTTCTTGTCCCTTGGAATTTGGCTTCCAAAATGTATTTTTTTTTAAGGGAGAAGGGGGCTTTTGTTCCAGTTATCAGCCTTCCTACCCAAAAGGAGAACTCCTATTAATCCGTCAAAACCCAGCTCCAAGAGCAATTTTTTTTAAAGAGAGATTTTAAAAATATTTATTTTTTAGTTTTCGGTGGACACAACATCTTTATTTTATTTTATGTGGTGCTGAGGATCGAACCCAACGCCCCGCGAATGGCGAATGCCAGGCGAGCGCGTTACCATTTGAGCCACATCCCCAGCCCCCAAGAGCACTTCTTAAGAATCTTCTTACTGCTCTTCAACACTCCGTATGTACTTCCAATTCAGCCCCCATCACGTCTCTTGGCAGAGATGTTGGGTGTTGGGGTCCTCTTCCCTAGAGGCCAGAAACATTGCAGTCAACCATTTTCATCTTTGGAACCTCAGTACTTGTTTGGTGAAAACGCCGTGGGGAGATAGAGGCGTGGAAATGGATAGGGCAGATCCAGAGCTGGAAACAGAAACAAGTGAGGGACTGACTCAAGATGCGGCGGGAGTCAGGTGGACCTGTTTGGACCAGAAGCTGCCTCCAGGCACCAAAGCTCTGAGGCAGCTAGCGGAGTAAACAGAGCCTCTGGGGGGCGCCCAAGACCTTGGTGTTTGAAAGGAACAGCTAGTGGCCGCACCGGCAGCCCCTCGCGGAGTGACTCAGCCACTACCTCTGGCGGGGGCGTGGGGGCTGGAGAACAGCGCGGAGGGCGGCTAGCGCGGTTCCCGCCAGCCAGAGGCGGGGTGCGGTTGCTAAGCTCTCCAAGGCCTCCGAGAGCCGCGATCTGGGCGAACCTCATCAGTTACCATGGTAACACTGCGCCCCAGCCTCCCGCTCTAGGCCACTGAAGAGGCGCAGCCAATCAGAAGCTGTGGGCGTTCTCGGGGACCCCTCCCAGTGTGTGGGCGGGGGTCAGGAGATGCGGGGGGAGGAGGCGGAGCGTGGGCCGTGGAGATGCGGTATTTGCAACAGTTCTGGCGTGTTCACCCAGCTGTGCTGGGACACTTCCGGAATAGTTGTGGAGCGCCAGAGAGTCAGTACAGGGTTCCCTCCAGAAGAGGCGTCGCTCGCGCGTATCAGATTGATGGACCATCTAGGGAGGTTCCAAGCTTGTCTTGTTTCTCTCCGGTTGGAGAAAAGCCAGTCACTCGGGGGTCCTTCAGAATGCCTTACAGAGGGAATCTGGGCGCTGGGCACTGTCCAGCCACTTCCAATCAATTATCCTGGAGTTTCTCCAGAGACCCTCAACTTCAGGGTAGGCTATTATGGGAACACCTCTGCCCAGATTCACGGGGTTCCACCTGGCAGCCCTTGGAGTATCACAGACAGCTGGGACTCCAGGAGCGGGCGTGGGTGTCTGTGTAAACATGTGTGCCAGCGAGAGTCACTACCTGGTAGGGTCTGGGGGCAAATGGGTTTATGCTGTGCATACCTAATACATATGACAGAGCGAGTGTGGGCGTGTTGGGGAGTAGGTCCAAGGGGACGGTCGCCTCCAGGAATGTCTAAGGGGAGTCGCCCGAGATCAGCTACCTTTGTCTCGCCTAGGATTTCCATAATCTCCATCTTGTTACCTACTGTCACCATCTATTGTTATCAGAATTCCTCCTTGAGGGCAAGACTTCCTAATTGAAGCTATGTTCTTAGAAAAATGTACGCAGAAGGGCTTAGCTCAAAATCCAAAGGTTTATGGACTTGCATTCGGGACTTGGAGTCCAGGTGGACACATCTGGAAGAATGAACCTGCACATAGGTCTCCTGCCCAGCTGGGCATCTGCGAGTCTCCAGCCCAGGTGCGCCAGAGAGGTTTCTATGGTCCAGCGCAGAGTCCCACACTGCCGCGAGGTGGCGCCATAGCCGCAGCAGCGCCTGCCGGCCCCAACCGTTCCAGATAAGAGTGTGCGGAAAGCGCGGCGGGGCTGAGACGCGACCAGGACGCGGGGAGGACGGACCAGCAGGACAGACCGACCGGGGGCCCGGCGGGCGGAGGGCAGCACAGCGCAGCCACGTCCCCCCTGGATCCGCCGGCAGCCGGGCCCGGGGCTTCCGACATGCCCCCCAGGTGGGTCGGGCGCTGGGGACCGGGAGGGACAAGGGACCTGGGACAGCCCGGTCCTCGCGCGCTGGCCGCCTCAGGCGCATCCTCTGGCGCGGGCGCCCCATCGCGATTGACGGCTGGCGTTCAAGGCTCCGAGTGTCTCCCTAAGAGGGCTCAGGACCGCTGGGCCGCTGCTCCGCGCCGGGTTCACCGCGGGGTCAGCGGCCCGAGGCCGGCTCTGCCCGCACATGGGCTGAAGAGGCAAGGGGAAGGGAAGGGGAGCTGGCGGGCGGGGCTGGCAGGGGCGCTGCCCTGGCACAGCTCGGCGCCTGGCAGCGGGGCGGGTGGGGCGCAGGCTAGGAGCTGCCACCGCCGCGGGGAGGAAAGACCAGCCAGGCTGTGGCTGCAGGTAACGGACTGCGAGGCCCTGCGGGCCAGGCGGGGAATGGGGTCGGGCGGGCGGGCTGGAGGGCAGGGGAACTCAGGGCTTGGTTCAGGCCCCGCAGCCGCCTGGCAGCTGGAGTTGGGGGCCGTGAGGCAAGGCTGGGAGTGGAGAGACTGGGGCTGGCGCGCTCCTCCCGCCCTGTCTGAAGTTGGGAAACTTTTCCCCAAGTTTGGGACGGCCGAGTTCCGGGGAAGAAGGGGCCGAGGGGAGCTGGGGAGGAAGGCGCCGGGTCCGCTAATGTACAGCTGAGGCCGAGGCCGGGGCCGGAACGCGGGTGGGGCGCAGGCCGAGGTCAGGGCAGCAGCCGGCTGCTCGCCGTGCCCGCCCGGGGCGCTGCCCCCTCCCTCCCCTGGGAGCTGCGTGGCTCCCCCCTCCCCCCCACCTGCTTCCTGCCTCAGCCTCCTGCCCCGATATAACGCCCTCCCCGCGCCGGGGCCCGGCCTTCGCGCTCTGCCCGCCACGGCAGCCGCTGCCTCCGCTCCCCGCGCCGCTGCCCCGGCCCCAAACAAGGGCCTGACAGCCCCTGATCAGGGCGGCGCCGGTGGGCACCGCGCTCGCGTCCTCCGTTTCACCTCTTCCAATTGGGGCAACTTCTCCCGAGGCGGGAGGTGTTTCCTATTCGGCTCCCTTTATCCCCACTTGGGCAAACTTCTCGGCCCTGAATGACTTTTCCTGAAGCGGACATTTTACTTAAATCGGGTAACTGTCTCCGGAAAGGGTCACTTCGCCAGAACAGTTTTCTCCTTGGAAGTCCCCAGCACCTAACCCGTGTGACCAGCAGCGTCTGGGCCTGGGGCGCACAGGCCAGCCTGGCCTCTTCTCCATCCGCAGGCGTTCTCCTCCTGCTCGTTACTCTGCTTCGGGCCCGCCGGCCTAGGCTTCCATTCCAGGAGGCCGCTGAACCTCCTCCACCAGTGCCCAGGCCGCGGTGCTCGATGCCCCTGCTCAGCTGAAGGGAAGGGGAAGTGGAGGGGAGGAGTGCCGGTCTTGGTACAGGAGGCGAGGGCGCTGCGCGGCTCTTACCCAGCTGGTGTGTGTCCCCGCAGGAGAGTGTGCTGGGCAGACGATGCTGGACACGATGGAGGCGCCCGGCCACTCGAGGCAGCTGTTGCTGCAGCTCAACAACCAGCGCACCAAGGGCTTCTTGTGCGACGTGATCATCGTGGTGCAGAACGCCCTCTTCCGCGCGCACAAGAACGTGCTGGCGGCCAGCAGCGCCTACCTCAAGTCCCTGGTGGTGCATGACAACCTGCTAAACCTGGACCATGACATGGTGAGCCCGGCAGTATTTCGCCTGGTTCTGGACTTCATTTACACCGGTCGCCTGGCTGACGGTGCAGAGGCTGCGGCGGCAGCGGCCGTGGCCCCGGGGGCCGAGCCGAGCCTGGGCGCTGTGCTGGCTGCCGCCAGCTACCTGCAAATCCCTGACCTCGTGGCGCTGTGTAAGAAGCGCCTCAAGCGCCACGGCAAGTACTGCCACCTGCGGGGAGGCGGCAGTGGCGGCGGCGGCTATGCGCCCTACGGGAGGCCGGGCCGAGGCCTGAGGGCGGCCACGCCGGTCATCCAAGCCTGCTACTCGTCCCCGGCAGGGCCTCCGCCGCCGCCTTCCTCTGAGCCGCCGTCGGGCCCCGAGGCAGCGGTCAACACTCACTGCGCGGAGCTGTACGCTTCGGGCCCGGGCCCAGCCACCGCACTCTGTATCCCAGAGCGCCGCTGTTCCCCGCTCTGCGGCCTGGATCTGTCCAAGAAGAGCCCACCGGGCTCTGCGGCTTCTGAGCGGCCACTGAGTGAACGTGAGCTGCCCCCGCGTCCGGACAGCCCTCCCAGCGCCGGCCCCGCCACCTACAAGGAGCCACCACTCACCCTGCCGCCGCTGCCGCCGCTGCCGCCGCTGCCCTTCCAGAAGCTGGAAGAGGCCATACCGCCTCCGGACCCGTTCCGTGGGAGCGGTGGCAGCCCCGGACCCGAGCACCCCGGCCGCCCCGACGGGCCCAGCCTCCTCTACCGCTGGATGAAGCACGAGCCGGGCCTGGGTAGCTACGGCGACGAGCTGGGCAGGGAGCGCGGTTCTCCAGGCGAACGCTGCGAGGAGCGCGGCGGGGACGTGGCAGCCTCGCCCGGGGGCCCCCCGCTCGGCCTGGTGCCGCCGCCGCGCTACCCGGGCAGCCTGGACGGGCCCGGCGCGGGAGGTGACGGCGACGACTACAAGAGCAGCAGCGAGGAGACTGGCAGCAGCGAGGATCCCAGCCCACCTGGAGGCCACCTCGAAGGCTACCCATGCCCGCACCTGGCTTACGGAGAGCCAGAAAGCTTTGGTGACAACCTGTACGTGTGCATCCCGTGCGGCAAGGGCTTCCCCAGCTCGGAGCAGCTGAATGCGCACGTGGAAGCTCACGTGGAGGAGGAGGAGGCGCTGTATGGCCGGGCTGAGGCGGCTGAGGTGGCTGCTGGGGCAGCCGGCTTAGGGTCCCCTTTTGGCGGCGGTGGGGACAAGGTCGCTGGGGCTCCAGGTGGCCTGGGAGAGCTGCTGCGGCCGTACAGATGCGCGTCCTGCGACAAGAGCTACAAGGATCCAGCCACGTTGCGGCAGCACGAGAAGACGCACTGGCTGACCCGGCCCTATCCATGCACCATCTGTGGGAAGAAGTTCACCCAGCGGGGGACCATGACGCGCCACATGCGCAGCCACCTGGGCCTCAAGCCCTTTGCATGCGACGCGTGCGGCATGCGCTTCACACGCCAGTACCGCCTCACAGAGCACATGCGCATCCACTCCGGCGAGAAGCCCTATGAGTGTCAGGTGTGCGGTGGCAAGTTCGCACAGCAACGCAACCTCATCAGTCATATGAAGATGCACGCTGTTGGTGGAGCGGCCGGCGCTGCCGGCGCGCTTGCAGGCCTAGGGGGGATACCGGGCGTCCCTGGCCCCGACGGCAAAGGCAAACTCGACTTCCCAGAAGGCGTCTTTGCTGTGGCTCGCCTCACGGCTGAGCAGCTGAGCTTGAAGCAGCAGGACAAGGCAGCTGCGGCCGAGCTGCTGGCGCAGACCACGCACTTCCTGCACGACCCCAAGGTGGCGCTCGAGAGCCTCTACCCGCTGGCCAAATTCACCGCGGAGCTGGGCCTTAGTCCCGACAAGGCGGCGGAGGTGCTGAGCCAGGGCGCTCACCTGGCTGCTGGACCCGACGGCAGGACCATCGACCGTTTCTCCCCGACCTAGCGCGCCCCTTGCTGGCCCGCCTTCGCCTTGCCGTTGCTTCACGGCCCGGCCCATACCCCTGAGGAGAAGCGCGGCACACCGTGCCTGGGACGACTAGTAGCAGCGGCGTCGTCGCCTCAGTGGCGGCCCCACCTCTTTGCGGCCTCACCTGGCCTCACTGCTTTGTGCCTTAGCTGGGGGTGGGGATGGGGGAAAACCCCAGGATGGGGTGGGATGGGGGAAGGGAGATTTATATTTTTGATATCAGCTTTGACCAAAGGAGACCCCGGCCTCTCCCTGCCTCTTTCTGTGGTTCTTTGGCCCCCTCCCCTGGCTCCGTGCTGCTCTTTGGGGGAGGGGTGTCACTGTTGGGGCGCTCCCAGCCCTACCTCCGGCCCTTGCGACCACACCCATTCTCACTGTGAATCTCCCCGCTGGGGTCGGAGTATCGAGCAGAGTTGTGGAGAGGGAGGGGACTGAGCCAGCCGGAGGGTCCCCGCCTTCTGCTCCTGCCCGCCCGGGACTGATAATGTGAAGTTCCTCATTTTGCACAAGTGGCACTAGCCCCAGGGCCAACCCTTTCCTCTCCAACCACCAAGGTGAGGAGTTATGGAGCCAGGGCCAAGACAGCCCTGGCTTGCCTCATCTCCCACTCCCACGGTGTCCCCTACCCTTCCCTGGGGCCCCGGATCATATTTATTGCATGCTCCCCGGGTGGCCCCCCCATCCTGAGCCCAGCCTGGGCTGGGCTGGAAAGCGGTCTCCTTAGCTCCCTCCTCCTATTTTGTATATTTCCTACCTTGTACACAGGCTCTTTCAGAGCCGCTTCCATTTTCTATACTCGAACCAAACAGCAATAAAGCAGTAACCAAGGTTCCCAATCCTGCTGCTGTCTTCTGCCCCTGCACGTGGACATGGGTGGGCTGCACCAGGGTGGTGGAAGAGCTGCATACATACAGGTGTACAAGCTCGGCTCTGCCTCCCCTCCCCAATCCCAGAAAGACATCAGCAAAAGATCAGACATGTTTCATAACTAAAAATTTATTAAGGAAACAAAACCAGTGCTGCAAATGGGACAGAAAGAAGAGATGGGTCTCCCACCCACCCAGTCATTGGACTCAGTCAGGGAGAGGATCTTAAAGGAGAGGCTGGGGACCCTATAACCCAAAGAGCCCAGTCTTCTGAGTTGAGGGTCTGGGGAATTTAGACCCCCCACACTACTGGCTTTGGCTCTGCTGCAGAGCCCCCACTTTCAGGCATTATTTTGGGCCTTTGGGAAGGCATAACTCCCATCCTTTGGGCAGGGTATACCTGGTCAGTGGGTTGTTGGGGGATTCCCCCACTGGTCCCATCAAGATTCACCTCTGTCCCACCCTGCCTTCCTTAAGTCCTCTTTATCTCTACCCTTGGTTTGGAGGAACTGGATAGAGGACGCCTCCAGTGTGAGGTTGTGAACATGGGTACCAGGTAACTGGGCAAGAAAAAACTCAAAGGCTAAAGGGCCCCTGTGTCAGTTCTTCTGGGGAGTCGGGGGGGGCAAAGCCAGAAACAGTGAACATGCCAGGTGAGGAAAAGCCCCTCCGGGCACTAGACTGCTCTACCCACAGGCTGGGCTATACCAGCCTCAAAGCTTCTCAGCACAGGGGTTTGGGAAGGAAAGACAGGTGGAAAGTTTTATTAGATTCCTGACTGACATAGGTAGCAGAGGAGGAAAATTCAGAGTGATAACTTCCACAACAAGAACTGAGCTGAGGAAGTTGGAGGGCTGGGGAGGGTGAAAGGAACCAACTAGAAAGGGAAGCAGGTGAGAGGATATTCTGGAGGGAGGGCAGGCAGGAGGGGGATGGTAAGAGTTGAGGAAATTTCCCACAGAGGGGTTCCAGCAAAAGGCAGGCTGATGGGGGAGAGGAAACAGGTAAAGGCCACCCAGGAAGCATGGGCCTGAGACCAGATTCCTTTCCCTCTAGACCCATGATCATCCAAGGGAAACCAAGGGGCAGAGTGCAAGGGACCCACTGATGTGGGTGGGAAAAGGAGTAACAAGATGGGAAAGTAACAGCAGGATGGGTATGGGTGTTTGGGTGCGGTTAGAAGAGGTGGGGGGCATAGGGCTGCTGTTAGGGACATAGTGTCCAGAACCTAACTTGGGTCCGTGGGGGATCCAGGCCTCAGGGAGATGGAGAGACACCCTGGGCACTTTTGTCACCATAGCCAAAGCCTCTTGGATACATCCAAGACAAAGGTTCTGCAGAATAAAGGGGCCCGTGATTTCACCTGCTTCTGATGGAAACTGTAAAATCTCTACCCCATCACCACTGGAGAAAGGTGGCGAGTCCTTGGGGTGAGCTGGCCTTCCCCCAGCCCAGGAATGAGATGGGAGGGAGAAAGGCTGAGAGAATTGGCGGCCTATCTGGCTTGCCCACCTGTTGTTGCTGTAGCCAGCCACTTCCCTGCTAAATCCTGGCAGCCCAGGAGGGTCCCAGCAGCTTCCGCCCGACCCTTGGGAGGGGCTCTGTGAGGAGCAGCTCCCTCACAGCACGGCCACGGCGTGGGTTGGAAGAGGATGGTTTATTGTCTGGGTGGATTGGTGGCTCAGGCACGTGGGCATCTTCCGTGCTACACTGGCGCCTGGTGGCCTCTCAGGAACGGTTCCATGGGGGTGGGCCCTGGCATGGCCCCCTCAGCCCACCTGGGCCCATGTGAGGAAGGCTGGGATGTCCCGCACAGGCACATTCCTCGTCAGTGCCTTTACACGCAGGTTCCGGTCATCAGTCAGCAACACCACCTCCCGCAGGAGGCGGATTGGCTCCTCTGTTGGCACAGAAGGCAGAAGGGCTTCACTGAGGAGAGGTGGCAGAGATAATTGCCTTGAAGGGGAATGTGGGACTAGAGGGGACAACACCAGCCTTTTCTTGGCCTTTCCATAAGTCCTTTCCTTCACCCAGACTCTCGGTCCAGGGTGTCCTTCCCCTACAGTTTAGAAAGGACCAGGATGGACCAGGGCTGCTCTTCTGCTTTGGACTCCCATCTCCCACACAGGACTTTGTTCTGCCTTGTGTCTGAGAGTTGCCCAAACCTGTTGGCCTCCACAGACTTGTCTTCCAGAACTCTGAACTGAAGAAGCAGTTTCACTCCTGACTGCATGGCTGGCCCTGGACTCACAATACCACTCTCTTTTTTGCACATCTCCTTCCAAGGCCAAGGCTTGAAACATCCAGATATAGAAAAGCAAAGATACACAGAAGCCAAATGCATGGCTCCTAGGTATGGTGAGAGGCTAGCTAAACAGAGCTCTGAGAAGGTGGGCAAGGGTCCCTAGAACAGTTGTGTCAAGGGGTCCTGTGGCTGTAGCCAACTGGTTTTCTTCTATTAAATTAATCCATGTATATGAAACAGTATAGAAGAGCAGAGAGTCAGGATTGTCTTCTCAGCTCTCTGTCTCATACCTAAGGGGTAGTTCTTTGTTTCTTTCCAGATTTCTTAAAGCACATTTACAAGTACTTATACGTGTATGTGCGTGTGTGTGTCCTACAACAATGTTAATCATACTAGTCATACTTACTTTATTTGAACTTCATATACTTTAAAGATCTTTCATATCAGCATAGATAGCTGCCTTTCTTTTTAGAAGAGTTTTTAATCCTGCCATTACCTCTCTTCTCCTCTTTAACCTTTAAAGTACTGGAGAAAACTTAAAGCAGGGCCACTCACTCATACAAGTGATACCCTCCCCCTGGCATGCCCATTCAGGCAGCAAGTCCACTTCTCAGTTCCAGGCTGGGCATTTCCTGGAGGAGGTCCTGTAGACAGCGAAGCTCAGGAAATGTCCTGCAGTGCTCGCTGCTGCGTGGGCTGGGGGACTGCTAAGATCCATGCCTGACCTGAGAAGTTTCAAGCTTGCCAGCTCCAGGCAGGGAGGCTAAGAACTGGCTTTCAGCCTCAGGAGTTGTTTGGGGGATGAGGGAGGGAGAATCCTGTGGGGTTGATGGTGTGGGAGAGGAGGAGAGGAGGAAGGAAGGTGTGATGGAGGCACAGGGCTGTGATGGGCAGAGGGAGAAGGTGGTGGCCATGGGTAATGGGAGACCCCTTCCATTGCTTAGGTGGGGACTGGCACCCTGGGGTATGTAAGTATGGGGAGGGTGGTGGTAGAGTGTGGTGCTACATGGGGCTCCCAGCTGGCTGGCTGGAGCCCCATGCTTCCTGCCCTGGGCCTCAGACCAGGAGAGTCCCAGGCCAACCAAGGCCCAGCATTGCTGGCAGGGGTCTGCAGGGGTTTCTGTGGATACTTTGAGACAGTTTTAACAATAAACATCCTCTGTTTTGACACTGGTAACTTCACTTTGTTAGAAACCAGAGACTGTCATCTTGTCAGGCCCCATCCGCCATAATCCACATGATTTTAAAATTCAACATCGTTTACACATAAACATTTGGTGACGGTTTCTCTGTGAATCTGACAAGTTAATCTGCTAAGAATTCACACTGACAAATGGGGTTTGATTACACCAGCCGTTGCTGATGTAATTGTGATAGGGGCGGTCCCCAAGATGGCAATGAGTTCCTGAAGGCTGCTTAGGGTGAGGTAGGGGGGTGGAGAGACTAGTGGGGCTCAAGCCAAAATGCAAGTATGCTACGAAACAAACAGCTCTGAGTTTGAGCAGTGTAGGAGCCAAAAAGGCCTTCAGCAATCCTGCCTACTTCTCCCTGAGAAAGGACCCTTCTAGGAAGCTGCACTGTGGCAGAGCACAAGCTCCTCTGTTAGGCTTGGCAGGATTTCTTTTTATCACTTGAACATTCCAGATCTGTCCCTAAGGGACAGTACATGCAAACCATGTGACAGGGCCCCTCTGAGGAATTGCAGTTGTGGACTCATGATCAGTCCTTGGTGGAAGGAGTAGGCGAGTAACCGCTTTAGGAGTAACTGCTAAAGAGCCTAAAAGCCAGGGCTGGGGGAACCAACAGAGGAGAGAGAAGGGCGACAAAGATGGAAAGAAAATGACAAGAATATATATATATATATGGAGGGGGGGAGAGAGAGAGAGAGAGAGAAACCAAATTGCGAGAGCCACCAACTCTGTAGATGACACTGAGCTAGGAGGTTCTAGGAATTCTTTCAAGAAGAAGAAGAAAGTCTAGAACTAGAAGCAGAAAACCCTTGAGTGTCACTGATCCCGTGGGGCTGTGCAGGA